GTTGCAGTGAAATCGCATATTTGCTTTTGGACCCCTCAGCCACCGTACAATATACAGGAACTAGCGCCACACGCTACAAAGATCACTTTAGAGACATGAGAAGATTTGATTTGTGGAAAAACTTTCTTTATTTTTAATGTGTATTTCAACATTATTATAGTTTATTTTACTCTTATATCAATGCTTACAAAATAAAAGATGATGGCAGTTTTCTTTTGTGAAAATGTTTGGTTATTAAGGGGAAAAAAGGGAATGGATGAAATGCAGAGGTAAATGTACCCAATGTCAGATCAATAAAGTTGAATTATTATATAATTATTTTTAAAAATAACAATAATAATAATTATTATTATTATTAATAATCTTTGACCCCTTCTTCCACTCTACTCCATGCACCACATCCAGGAGCCCCACCTTCGGTCCGAGTGCGAGTGCTGCAGCTACAAGCTGGACCTGGTGAAACCGGTCCGTTTCCTCAGCCTGCAGTGTGAGAGCGGAGAAAGTGAGCAGGTCTTCCTGCCGGTCATAACCAGCTGTGAGTGCACCAGCTGCCACGGTGAGGGCCACACTGATTTGCATGCATGCATGTCTCTCATGTCGGTATGAAAATAAGGGCCTGACAGAAGATCAGAACTCTGTGCTAACTTCCAGTCAACAAAACACACTTTTACACAAAAGCATTTTAATGTGCGGACCTTTATTAAAATCAAGCCTGCCTTTTATCTGTTGTTTTTAGAGCACAGATAAAAACAGTTATTAAGAAAATACCCTTATGAAGAATGAATATGATCATTTTAACATAGATTTACCTTAAGTAAAAAAAATGTGGCTGTAGCACCACATTTTTTTTTTCAACTCAAAGACCTACTAGTTTATTTGCGTTGATTAAAACAGGCTTAAATATAACGGACATTATTAGACAATATAATTCGACATAATATAAATAAAATAAATTTCTTTGTAAATAAATGTCAGTTGGCTGCAGATTATCTCCACGTGCTGCAGATTATATGGCCGGGGCTCATTTGCATGCAGGAAAGGAGCCGGTTGCTCTGCTGGGATGGTGAGGAAGCCATGCTTGCTGTGATCGTTGCCTCCTGCATGGTTGACTCTGGTTTCTTTAAACCTCCTTTATAATCTCTGTGGGGTTAAGAAGCTCAAAATGGAAGCATGGAGTTCTCTAATGATTGCTTATAAGTTATTACTTTTGTCTGGAAAAAAAACAAACACTAATCCTAATGAACTGAAAAAATTACCTTATCTAAAAAAAAAATAGGACTTTGGATCACTGAGCAGTAGTCTAGTTATTTCCTCCCTTGCTCAGGTAATTAACAAAAGTTAAATGAGGAAGTTATGTCCCCTAAATAAAAGCCGTTGCACCCCAGGGGCTTCCTCACGGTTCTTTTCCTGGGAGCAAGTTATTTACTACTCTTAACATGTAAAAAGAACTATAAAACAGGAGTAAAAAATAACAGAGTTTATTCCAGTTCAGGTTGGTACAGGAAAGAGAAAAATGCTTGGAGCTTGCACAGCTGTGGGCTCAAAAATCACGTCCGCGAGCGTCCGGAAAAGATTGAGCCCCGAACAACGTCATCTCCTGCTTCTTAAAGCTCATGAGTCTATGTGTTGCATCATGTTGATGCTTAGCTGTCCGTATCAGAAACTGACACGTCATCCATGTCTTGAACTTCATGCAGCTTGCTTCTATGCTTCAGGGTTACAGATAGCTCTCCTCTATCAGACCGGCTCCAAGATGTTCCTATATTCTGTGTATTTTTAAAGACACGAAGGCTGTCCTGATTAGTTGACCTCCGTACACACAGTGACATCCACCATGTGAAGGAAGGCCTTCTACTCTGTCTACCTGGCTAACAGAATAACAATGCACATGATGTATAAAGAATAAACCTAACAAATGTGTCTGGTATAGGTGTAGCTTAATCAATTAATGGAGATTTAGTTGATTATTTTCCCTTTAACCTGAACATTTCTTTCCATCATACGTTTTCCTTCCACTTAACTTTCCATAAACATGGCTTGATAGACCATAACATGAACAGAGCTCTGTTGTGTTTTTCCGTTTCGTTGCAAAATTAGGAAAACCAGCATTCCTAAAATATATATATTCTTTATGTTCTGTTAAATTATTTGAAACAAAACACAATTGTTTCAAGTTTTCTTCTCCTCAGATGACATATAGACCTCATCCGCTCAGGTTTAAAGGGTCAAGGAGTCGGTCTATGCAGTTCCCATGGTTACTGCCGATCAGAGAGGCTTGCATCATCGGTTAACTTATACATAGTTTTTCTTTTGGCTTGTTTCCATCGTTCAATCACAGCGCCACCAGCTGGTCTGGCATAATTTCACAGCGTTTTATGGCGTACTGAGTACATGGATGTGATGGTAGCATCTAGTGAACTGGCTTCATGCTTACAGACACAGTTTCTAAAATGTTGGAGGTTTTATCTTCATGTGGGCGTAGCCATAATTATCTTAAAGTCGAACACCTGGTAGAGCCAGGAAACAGTTTCTGTCTCCTTATTGTTTGTACGACCGGAGGATTTATAACGATGTCCGGAAGAGTTCAGGAGATTAATATTTGAAGTTTCTTATATTTTTTTACCACTAATCCAATCACATCGGGGAGAGAATCCATCTCTTTTCCAGCAATCTTGTCAAAAATAGGAGTAAAATTAACTTATCAATAAAAGAAGCTATCTAGGCAAGGCAAGGCAAGGCAAGGCAGCTTTATTTGTATAGCACATTTCAACAACAGGGCAATTCAAAGTGCTTTACATAAAAACAGCTAGAAAAATAAATACACACAAATAAATAAATAAATAAACACAGAAGAAACAGTTAAAAATAAAAACAAAATAAAACACAAGGATAGAAATTACAGCCGCTCTCATTCCGTTCCCAAATCTTTGCCGCATACAGAAAGAAGATTATAACTGTATACCCAAACAGAGGAACTGTCTTAATTAGATAAACTACTGGGAGAGGCAGCTAATATTAAGGTGTAATAAACTTCACACATCATCAATGATTATCTTTACATCTGTAAACCTGAAGCCCAGCTCTTAGTAAGGAGGTCTGCTGCATTATTCCTACGTTTTTGTCCCTTCTTAAGAAGATTTTTAAGATATACCTGAAAGAGTCTTTAACTCGCTGTTTGCTCATGTTAAATCTTTTTTTCTTTTTGGTGATCTCTACATTCACAGTGATGTTTATTTTCTTCTGTTTAAGACTTCTCAGCTTGTACAGTTTATTGACAGATCAGATGTTATCTGTTGGAAGGAAATGTTCTTCTTCTTGGCTCCGTCATTTTCCTGTTTCTTCTCTTCACAGGAGGCGACTTGTCCAGACGTTGAGTGAATGTGTGGCCTGATAGAGAGAGTGTGTGTGTGTGTTGATGAGTGTGGGTCAGGTAGAGAAGAAGCAGTCTGAACCCCATGCTGAGCGAGAGCGGGATTCTCAGTGCCAACTCTCTGATAGTTGGATGCGTCTGGGATGAACAGATGGGTGGACAGTCGAGTGGAAGAAGTTCCTGTTGAAGGATGAGATGCTCACATTGTTTTTTAAATCCTAGTTTCAGGTTCTTGTTTCTTCGTCCTGTACAGTCGTTTTCTACCGTGTATTTATAGTTTGATCTCTGTGTGACTTGTTATGCGTTAAGAGATGTTTGCTGTCAGTTTTTCTGCTTCCTACTGTTAAACTTCCCATTAAAAATGTTTTTTATTGGAGAAATCTATTATTTCTGACATGTTTTTATTTGACTGTTTGCTCTAGTCTTGAGTCTTGAATATTTAACAGTTCAGGTTTTTTCTCATTGACGGTTAATGTGTGAACTTGAGCTGCTATGGATTATAGAGGAAAAGGAACAAAATGCAGAAAAGGTCATGATAACATAAATTTAAGGAAACAGAAAAATATGAATGAAATACAAAAACAATCAGGTAGAAAAGCAG